AAAAGAGCTTTTAATTTACAAAAGCATAAGTAGTCATTCCAACATAAATTGGACTCTTATTTCTTAGGTCTTCTGAGGTAGCATGTCAGATTTAAAACTGATACATGCATTGAAGTATTTTTTAAAAAATCTGTGGACTTTTCATCCTTGGTGAAAGCAGATGGGGAGAAGTAATAGGACCATTCTGTTTCTAGTGCTTCCACCATTCAGAACTGAGCATTGTCTGGTTTTCCCTCTTACGAAATAGCTGACCCTAATGGGCTTTTAAGATTTTTAATGTCAAAATAATTTTGTTATTAGAATTCGAATGTCTTGTGCTTCTAAGCTTGCAATGAAATAGCAAAATCTCCTCTGAAGCATTAGCAGTGCTAAATATGATGCCAGTCTCATTGAGTTCTAATCTTTGATTCTGGGTTTTCTGATAAATTTATAAATAATAGATGTTAAAGTAATTTTCATGTCTTGATTAATAGCACATCTTAGGAGTTCTCTCTGAGATCTACATCATCATACAGTTTAAGGCTTCTGTTTATATGTGCCAGCTGTGCAGTTACTGTATGGGAATTAACTTTCATTAAAGCAGAGAAATGCTGAGGGACTCATTAGATGAACTGCAAAATTAATTACTGGGAAAGAGATGTAAGCAAAGCTGCAGTAAATCACTGTGAAGATCAGAGTGTGGTTCTGTGGGCACAAGCAGTGGCTGCAGTAGTGTGGAGTATTGGTTTGGAACAGGAAGAGAGTTGGGGTATGTAGTCAGTGAGCACCTATTTGGGCACGTGCTCGTGGCCAGAACTGGTTTGCCTTAAAAGTGCATAAAAATTCCTGCCATTTCTAAAGTCTGAGATATGGAAAACTGACAAAGCCTGCAGAACTCCTCCCTGTGATACTTGGGTTGTATTTTCCTAATTTTCTAATACAAAGATATTTGAAACAAACTTCTGTAGGAGATGGAGAGACTGGATGGTATTGCTATAGAGTAATGGTAGCATACACTGAAATAAAATGTTAACACTGTTACTTAGACATAGATGTGTAGTGGCTCCACCCTGCCTGTAGCAGCTACAAGGCTCTATAAGCAGAAGACAAATTCCTGAGCTGAGACTAAATGGGAATTAAAAGCTTCCTGTCTTGTGCAGATGCAATTACCTTTTGCTTTGTTTATGAAATCGTAAATGACAAATAGTTTCTGATGAAATATCTGTGTATTGGGCAGCATCTATTCCACCACGGTATTGCAAGAGGTGCAAAAGATTGTCAAACTGGAAATCTAAGGTTTCCTTTGCAGCTTCCCCTGTTATCAATCTTGTGAGCAGTTAATAGACCTCAGCCATCAGGCTCTCAAGGCTTGTCTCATAACAGTGACCAATCGCTTGGGGACTAATATTGTGTGCCTTGAGAAATTGCTTTCTTCCTCTGAGAACCTTGACAAAGAAATTGGACTCTTTAAACCATTTAAGGGGGTGATCAAAACTGTCCTGCTTGAACTAGAAGATATTTTTGACAGTTCTTGGAACAGGCCCATAAAGGAGTGCTCTGCCACTGAGTTACTGCTCATAATTGTGAAAAATCTTGTCATGATCTGAGTTTCCTGTGCCATAAAGCTGCCAAGTTATAGACAAGCACAATGCTGGTAGAAAGTGTTGCCATCCCATTTTTCAGGGTGAATGTCACAGGTGGAAGGCACTTTTATTGACACTGTAGAGCAGGAATAGTTGGGAACTGGGTAAGATATTATCTGCTGAGGTCTGCTGTAAATAAGTATGTTTATATTTTGGCAGTAATCAGCCTTTCTGTTTGATGTATAACTTGACAACTCATTTTGAGTAAGCTGCCAAAGCTCTGATGATTTGCTTTCAAGCTGGTGACTTGAGGCCTGGGGAAAGCAACTCACAGGAATGGTGAAAAGTGCTATGTGATTTAAAAAAAATAATATTTTAGTAGAGGTCCCGCTGTGAAGGAAGACATGATGCTGGCCAGGTCTGTGACTTTTGGTTCTACTTCTACCACTGCCCTGCTTAGGAGATCATTGTCCAGTCACTTCAAGTGCCCAAAACTTAGAAGGGATTTTACAGAGCCTGAAAAAGAGCCAGTTATTAGCCCTTGAAGGGTGGGTTGGTTGTTGGAGTTGGTTTTTTTCAAGTTAAAGTAATGTTGAAAGAAGCCTATAATCAAGAGGCTAAGCATACAGAATAAAGTGTATCACTGTTTCTAGCTTTTGCTCTATTAGCTTGGTTTTCTCAGGATTTTAGCTGACAGGAGAATTCATGCGACACACTGAGGCTTTTTTTTTTTGTCCGATGCTTTTAGATTTATAGGAGATGTTGAGTCCTGATGATAAGAATCCAGCCTCTTGAATTAGAATGTTCTTAGCTGCTAAAAAATCTGCTGGCTTGCATCAAAGTCATCAATACCATGATGTTGCTTCTGTCAAATCTCTTTATTGCTTAGCCACGTGGGGAAGAGATTACTTCTTTGTTTCTCCTCTTAGCCAGCAGGATAAACTTTTGCTACAGAGTTGTGAGGAGAGGTAGAGGAACGATGCCATTAGAAGAAGAGAAGACAAATGGAAAATCGGGGTCCTATCTAGAAACACATTCACTTTGCTATATTGCTGTCATCCAGGTTAAGAACTGCATTCGCTTTTCAAAAAAAACCCCAAACCCTTAGCATACTCTTCAATAGCAGTCCATCTTCCCTGACACTTTTGTAAGCTGAAACACTGAAAAACATAACCAACGTCTACTATTTTTTCCTAGGTGGTTGGAATTTAAAGGAAAAAAAAAAAAAAAATAAAAGAAAATTGTAGGCTCTGCAAAATCTTGTATAACAGTTAAAAAAATTCCAAATTCTCCTCTCTTCTGACTATCAGCTAAAGATGTTGAGACACCCAGGGCTTTCTGGGCTCCTCTATGAGTGGTTGCAATCACCTATGAATGTTTTTATTATTAATAAAATCAATACTATCTGGCATCTATATGAAATCTAGATTCTCCATCACATTTTCAATCATAAAAGTATGGAACCAGCTGTCAAAGGAATTGGGAAGGTTTGTTTTTTGTCTAGAGCTTAAATTTTCTATATATTTCTCAAATTAATTGCTGGATTTATATAACTGACTTTTATAAAAAATGCTTTAGAAAGGAGGCTGATTTTCTGTTACAGAGGATAGAATAAAACTGCATCTGCTAGAAGATTTTGTAGCACTTTTGAATCTAAAACAAAAAATGGAAAATTAGTCAAGTTCAGTGTACTCCCTTTATTATGGTCTAAAAATAATCTGTCTCTAATGGATAAAACCAAACCTCTGGAAAATGTAACATTAAATTTTATATATTTGCTATAAAAATGCAGCATCACTTCACAAAATGGATTGGAATTCTGTTATATCTGGAGGAATCATTACCCTCCAGAGCTGTTCCTAAGCTGCATGATGTCCTTGGAAGTGCTTGGAAATGGTGCTGTAACAAAGCTGGCCTGGGCAGCTGCTCCCTGGGGAGGACAGACACCTCAGCACAGCTGAGCAAAGGGGACCTTGGACACAAATTGCAAGGAGGCAGGGACGGTTAAGCCAAGTTAAGAACTTTCAGACTGACAAAAAGAAATATTATGACAAGACTGAGTCTGAAAAGATTCAGTTAAAGAGAGTCCTGAAGTGGTGTTTGGTAAAGTGATGAGAACAAGGAAATTTCTTTGGCAATTTTTCACCGCTGTCCCAAGTCCTTTTCTCATCAATTCTCAATTCTTTCTGTTTTCAGCTGGGAAAAGTGAGAACAGATGCAAATGAAGAAGTAAAGTATTTAGACTTAGCAGAGCTTTCTATTTTCCACCCTTTTGTGTTTTGCATCCTTCGGTCTTCTCAAAAGCACCACAAAGTACCAAACATCCAGATGGAAAGATGACATTCCCTTGTATTCACTGTTAATCCTACTGTCCGTCTCCAAACCCTTGGTCACATATTTGCTTATTTTAAGAGCAATGAAATGGTTGGTGAGGGAACGTGGCAGGAAGGGGCTGAGAAGAGGGTGTCCTCACGCATGGGGAGAAGGGGGTGTCTCGTCACCACCTGCTTCTATGCGGACACAAATGATTGCTGTCCACTCGGCCCTGGTGAGGCCACGTCTGAGCACTGTGTCCAAATCTGGGCTCCTCCGTACAAGAAAGGCAGGGAGCTGCTGGAGAAAGTACAACAGAAGCCACAAAGATGATGCAGGGTCTGGAGCATCCCTCTTATGTGGAGAGACTGCAGGAGCTGGGCCTGTTTAATCTGAAGAAGACAAGACTGAGAGGGGATCTCATTAACGCACATTAAGATCTCAAAGACAGATGCCAAGATGGTGCCAGACTCTTTTCAGTGGTGCCTAGCGACAGGACAAAGAGTTATGGCCACAAACTAAAACACAAGAAATTTAACCTCAACCTGAGGAAGAACTTTACACTGAGGGTGGCAGTGGACTAAAAGCTGCCCAGGGAGGGCGTGGAGTCTCCCTCTCCGGAGACATTCCAAACCCACCTGGCCATGTTCCTGTGACACCTGCACGCGTTGACTCTGCCTGGGCAGGGCGGTGGGACGGCACGATGTCCAGAGGTCCCTTCCAGCCGCGCGTCCCTCCCCTCAGGGGCCCGGGGCAGCAGCCGGGGAGGCCGCGCCTCCCGCCGCCCCTCACGGAGCGGCCGCGCCTCCCGCCGCCCCCGAGGCGGCCGCTGGGGCGGAGCGGCAGCGGCGGTGCCGCCCGCCCGCCCTCGTTGCCCGTGCGGGAGCCCCGCCGCGCCTCCCTCCCTTCTCCAGGCTGCCTCCCTTCTGCAGCCGCCCGGGATGGGCGTGCGGAGCGGCGGGCGGGAGCCGCGGGCAGCGCTGGGGCGGCGACACATGGCGGGCGGCCGCTGAGCGGAGGCGCGTCCCGGTGCGGGGCTCTCGCTCTCCGGCAGCGGGGCTGGGGCAGTGCCGGCGGCCTGGGAAGGGGCAGCAGTGAGGGGTCCTGTGAGCCCTGGTCCCGGGCATGGCGGAGAGCCTGAGCCCCTGCTCCCCACGGGGCCAGTGCCAGCCCAGCATGGGCGCCAACACCTCGTCCGCCAGCGTGGACGCCAACGCCTCCTCCTCGGTGGTGGGCGGCAGCGCGTGGAGGGGCCGGGAGCCCTTCTCCGTCTTCACCGTCCTCATCCTGACCCTGCTGGTGCTCCTGACCGTGGCCACCTTCCTCTGGAACCTGCTGGTGCTGGCGACCATCCTGCGAGTGAAGGCCTTCCACCGGGTGCCCCACAACCTGGTGGCCTCCACGGCGGTGTCGGACGTGCTGGTGGCGGCCCTGGTGATGCCGCTGAGCCTGGTGAAGGAGCTGTCGGCCGGGCGGCGGTGGCGGCTGGGCCGGGAGCTGTGCCTCGTGTGGGTGTGCTTCGACGTGCTGTGCTGCACGGCCAGCATCTGGAACGTGACTGCCATCGCCCTGGACCGCTACTGGTCCGTCACCCGGCAGCTGCAGTACACGCTGCTCGCCCGCCGCCGCATCTCCAATGTCATGATCGCTCTCACCTGGCTGCTCTCCGCCGCCATCTCCCTCGCCCCGCTCCTGGGCTGGGGCGAGACCTACAGCCCCGAGCAGGAGCGCTGCCAGCTCAGCCAGGACCCGTCCTACACCATCGTCTCCACGGGCGGGGCGTTCTACCTGCCCCTCTGCGTGGTGCTCTTCGTCTACTGGAAGATCTACAAGGCGTCCAAGTTCCACATGGGGGGCCGCAGGAGGAACGCCGTGGCGCCCCTGCCCGAGGCTGCCCAGGTAAGGCTGGACAAGGGGAGGGAGCCCCTGCTGCTCCCCCAGGCACTGCCATCCTGCTTCTCGCCAGCTCCCGGCCCACACCCCTGCCATGATGGGTTCGGAGCAGCGAGAAGGCTGCGAGGTGCCCGGGGGCTCCCCAGTGAGTTTAACTTTGTCACAGGCTGGACGTGAGCAGTAGTTAGCCAGCCAAAAAGTGCAGCTCCTGGAGAAGAGCTTTATTCTCTTTTTTTCCTTGTGTGATATAAGAGTAAGGGGCAGGTGCATTCACTGCCAGTCGAGAGAGACTTTTGAAAATTGTCTCTTTGTTTTGAATTTGCCGTTCCTTGGGGTTTTTTTCCTCCTTACGTTTATTTATAGCGTTGGTGGAGTAAAAAAAGGCATAAACAGATCCCCAGGTCCTGTACCGAGATAAATGCACATTTATCTACAGCACAGACTCTGTGTGTTTGAATAGATTTTGGTAAGCAAATTAAGCACTATACACAATATATATATATATGCACATATTGATGTGTTTGGGCTATTTTACCTTCAGTACTGCTCACTGCCTAATGTTGAAGCAATGAGCAATCGTTTCTGGTTTAAAATCACCTGCTGGCTTCAAAACCATGTTCTTCTTATCCCAAAGATTGTCTGTAATGCTGCAGTGCCCTAGCCATTTGGGAGATCTCGTTCATTTTGGGGATACGCCTTGCTGACAGGAATGCTGTGTCCCTTCAGAAGAGTTGGGGTTGGCTCCTTGTGCCCCATAAGTGAGGCTTCTCTGCATGATGCTGCTGTCACCCATTCCATGCCTCCACCGTGCTTAGCTGTGAACTTTCCTTGCTTTCTGTCACATACTCTTACTCTCACTCCTACCAGTCTTTATGTTTTTTGTGATTGCACGTTGCACTTCCTAAGCCCAGTCCCTTCCCAGTAGCCAAAGATGAGCTGTGTGGATGTTAGGGATACCTACAGAGAACATTTCCACTGGGGCTAATCCTCATGGAATGGGGCGGAGCCTCATTCCCCTGCAAAATCCTGTCTTTGCTTTGGAGTCAAGGAAGCTCATTATTATGGTGACAAGTAAGAGTCTGGAGGTTGTGGTCCCAGCTTCTTGCAAGAAATAACAGCACTGGCAATCACATGTGATTAGACTTGCAGATTTGAATCAGAGTATCTTGAAGATACTTTTAATATATATTGATTTATGAAGGTATCTTCTATGGAAAAGCAAAACGTTTCTTAGAAAAGTTAAGACTTTTTTTTCATACGATCTTCAGCCCCTAGTCTGCACCAAATTTCTTTGAAATGGTGTTAAGTATGATGAAAGTATTGCTTGGAATTAATGTATAATCTCTTCAAGCACAAAAGCCAGCTGATGATTTGTAGTGCTTTTGCGTGCTCTGTCTTTTACATACACACATACCCATACAGGACTAACTGTTTGGAATCTAAAATTCTGGGAAGGGAAATGAGCTGAGGCATTGCTGCTCAAGGCAGTTGAGAGACACATCACATGGCAGTTTTCGCAAGACGCAGTCTGGCTGCAAATTGTCAAAGTTCTGTCTGCAAGAGGCCCTGCGTGGGCCCAGCACGGCTGCCAGGTGAGTGCAACGTCTGGGGGCTGCTTTAGGCTGCACTGGCTAAAGGGCTCTGGGGGAGTGAGCTAAACATCCATTTTGGAGGGGTTATATAATACCAGCAAATGCTTAAGCCTTTGCTTGAGTAGATCTTCTTTCTCATATTGGTGTGATTGACATATTAAATTCTCCTAAAAGGGATTCTTGAATCTGCAATTGGTGTGTAGTGACAACTTCTTCCGTTGTCCCAGCAGCTCTGTTTGCTGACTTAAATTAAAAGACTTCTGATTCAGATGCCAACTTGACTCCTCACCTGAAGGAAGAGCTGATGCTGCACATGTGTACATTAAATGAACTTGTGGATCAAGCGAGCTGGCATTCAGGATGCATTTCTTTTTTTCTTTCTAAATTAAGGTACCGATATTTACATAGCAAGTGTTATCCTGATCCTTTTTAAGCTTGTGGTAGTAGGATCCGTCACATCCACAGGAGGAGTAGCAGTTCCCCAGTGAATTCTGGAGGGGAATCTTCACACACATCCTACTGTTCTTTGGCAAAACCCTGTTGTTTTTTTAACATGCAAACACAAAGGTAACATTGCCAAGCTTTGCCTCTCTGCATGCAGTGGGGATCAGGCTGTCAGCATCAGCTCTCTCCTCTCTGTTGGGGCAAATTCAGTTCTGCTTCTTGTGGTTTGCCCATAAAATCATTCTTACTTTCCCTTTCTTTCTCCCTTGATGTCTCTCCTTCCTGTACTTTCTTCCATGTCCATTCTCAGAGAATGCTCACCTGTCATACTCACCCTGGCAACAGTTTCCTTCTGTCACTGTGACTGGATATCAATTCCCCTCTGCATCTATGTCAGTTCTTACTCCAGGTGCCCTGCACCAGTTGATCTGAGGAATATTAGTGGGTTTTTTTTGGCAGACAGTGCCAAAGGCTGGCAGTGCTTCCTAGTCTGGAGGTGAGCAATAACAGCAGGGATCTCTGCTGGGAAAGATGTCTGTGTTGCACTCAGGAATGAGCTGTCAGGCAGTGTCAGGGCTGCAGTCCACGGCCTGAGGTACAGCCAACTGGTTAATTCTGCCAAAACTAAGGACAGAAAAGGTCAGATGCCTTGATAAAACAGTGCACAAAGTGGAGCAGTGAGGGTGGTACCTTGATGTTTGTCAGCCAACAGAGTCAGGCACCAAAGTGCTTTGCAGGTTGTCCCTATATATAAGTACATATAAATATATATATATATATATATATATAATGGTTTGGTTTTTTTTTTTTTTCACAGAGAACGGGCATATCTTTGAAACTGGGCATTGGCATACGTACCTTATGCTCCTGTACTCTTAGAGCTGCAGAACAGAATAGTTACAGAATAACTATTTCGAGTCATTCTTTGGTTAAAATTTTGCTTTTGTTGCTGAAAAATACTTTTCAAAACCTTTGAAAAAATTTGGGTGAGAGATGGACATGAAACATCTGAGATGCTTCAGGTTTTAATGAGAGCTTGGATTTTTGCTTTCCTTTGAAATAAAATAATTGCCAAATTTGGATCCTAAATTAAGCTGGTGCTTTTATAATTATTTCTTTGCCAATTATGAAACTCCCTGAAAAGTGAATTCTGCAGGCAACACTGATGTGAGTGACCCTCATTAAAAATCTAGTGACATACCATCACTGACAGAGAGCTATGCTCTGTCACACCTTGTTGACAGCAGGCAATAATTCTCTCTCTGAACAGTCCAATTGAAATAAATGAGACTGCTTGAAAAACAGCAGATACTGCTGGATAGTGCCCTTTTAAATCAATGAAATCCCTTGTAGCATAGGGATAGCCCAGCAAAACCAAGGATGATGGGATCTGAATGTCTGCATAACTTACATGTAGCAGTGGCAAAATCAGGTTTAAATTTTCATGTGAGGAGTTAAAAACCAAGTTCTGTTGATGACTGGTGGAGGTTTTGTTGGGATTTTTTTAGTTTATTTTCTTCCACCCCTCTCAAAATACTTATATAGTGTATAAAAACATTAGGCATGATCCAAACCTTAGAGTTTTGTGAGAGTCCTTCCCACTTTGGATAACATCTGGTCCCAGAGCTCCAGAGGTGATGTGTTGTTCTGCATCTTGGCCCATTCAGCTTCTCCAACTCACTTAAGCAGTCAGGACAATGTGGGAGAGAATACAGGTTCTTCTTTTCTGAAGGGGTCACGGGCTTTTTATTTCTTATTTCTGTCTCTGTATAAGTAGGAGAGATGGGTCAGGAAACAAAGTTCAGCTGTCCAGAAGAGTTGCCAAAAATGTCCAGAAAGGAGTGAGGCAGGAAGCAAAATGGAGTGGGTAGTGATTTCTTGGTAGAAATACAGAGTTAGTCCTGCTTACAGCAGAAGAAAATCCTGTGAGAGAATGTGGGTGTTCTCCCTGTCAAATGAACTGTTTGTCATGTTGGTGGAGCATCCAAGAGAGTATAGACATTTCTGTTTTGATCCTTTGTTGTGCATTTAGCTTCTTGTGTTCTTGTTCAAAGAGCAAGAAGTGTGCCAGGGCTGCACTGAGGCAGTAATGACCTTTGCTGAACCACACTGTGATAGGCAAGCTCTGAAATTGTGGTGCTAAACCAGATTTGATTGATGTTTATCATCTTTACTGTTGTTTTGTTATTGCAGACCCTGCAGGTGCAGGACAAACACAGAGTACCTGCCACAAAGGACCAGTAATAATAATCATTAAAGCAATAAGGAACATTTTAAGTCAAGGGATTTTGTCAGAAGCTCCTTGGTTGTATGTTTTCTGTGATATTCTAGGAACACAGGACAGCTCTGGGAACAGGTAGCCATTTAGGAGTAGTAATTTACTGGGTACAGACAAACAGAAGGGTATTGAACTGTAATTGCTGATCAATGTACAGAAGAATGAATTCTGGAACTAAAACCAAATTCCTTTGTGACTGTAGAAGGATTTGTACTTGAGCTCATTTCCTTCATTTAATCTCTTTATTATTCCCACAGAACAGCAGTCATCTCTGCACTTCTCACAGCCTGTTGTCCTGGAAATAGCTGATTTCACGAGTTCAGAATTCTGGCCTCAGAGTAGCAGTCCTTTCATAGGAGCTATTTCCCCAGTGCTCCTCACTCGCAGCTCCTGGAGTGGTTCCTGGGCAGATGGAAGGAAATCTGTGCCCAAGGCAGAGTGTGCTGCTAGACACCGAGTGAGAGCAGTGTGCAACACTGCAGAGATGGCTCCAGCATAACCCAAGGCATCTCCATGGACTGCTCTGATTTAGTCTGTGACCACCTCTTCTGCTGTCACAGCTTGCTTGCTAGTGCTCAGTAGTAAGCCCAAAATGGGGATAACGGTTCTGTACTTGTCTTTTGTTCTGTGCGGTACAGGGATAAAGGTCAGCTGTTGTGACTTACATTGGGAACTGGAGTCGTGCAAAGCCTCTGAGACTGGCACTGGGAACTGCAGGTTTGGTACAGTTAGAGCTGCATTTAGTTCTAGCAAGTAATTTACAAAATGTACCATGATCTATTTTCACTTGCTGTTTTGTATTCAAAGGCCTGACCTAACAGCCTTCAGTAGGAGCTTCAGCAGGCTGTAAATGCAGGCTTCATTGTGGAAAACACCTGAGGACTGAGGCATCTTCTAGCAAAGGAAATGAAATAACTTCTTCTTACAATGTGTAATTAAGTGATAAAATAATTCACTGTCAGAATTTACTGCTAGTAAATTCTGCAATCAGAAGTAGGAGAAGGCTCTGATTTGATGATGGCACACAGCAAGCTCCATCTTTTGAGCAAGAGTTGAAGGTTAAATACAGTACCAAACTGTGCCTGATGCTCATGACAATGTCCTTTGTGTGGCTGTTCCCAAGAGGCACTTATGTAACTATTCCTCAGGGCTAAGACATAATCTTTCAGGGTTGCTTGTCAGAGATTTGTCCTCGTGTCATACATTCATCCCTTTTTGCAGAGTGTGATTAAGGACGTGCAGAGCAAGTCCTTCTGCAGACAAATGGTGTGATCCTTGCTACATGAGGGGTGTCCCATTTTAATTGTCAGTACGGATGTGATTTTCATTTTCCTCCATTATTTGCCTGCACCTATAATCTGCAGTTCTGATGTTCTGCAGCCCTGTCTCGTGTCTGAGGGTGCAGACAGGGATATCCATCCTGAAGAGTGATTGTTCAGCCACTGACAGTGCTTCATTGTTTGAATTGCTGTGCTCATTCTGAGTAGAGTCCCTCCATCTATTACAAAGGTAGCACATGAATGTGGAATATGCAGCTAATTTAACAATGATCCATATTTGGAGTGCTGTCAAAGTCTTGCAGTGCCTGTGAATTATCACTCAGGCAAATTTTACAGCCTTAAACTGTTGCTTTTACTGCACTCTCTTCATAACTGTAGCACCTAGAAGACCTTTAATATCACAGGCACTTCAATCTTCAGATTCAGATCCCTAGGGAGTGTCTTCATCTGGTCAGACTCAAAGCACATGAGTAACTTCAGCCCAGAAGCTGTTTGCCCCAGAGCACTGTGCAGAGATGAGTGTCTTGCTCTTAGTGAGAGGAGACAAGCACTGTCGACAGCCTGGAGTAGCTGAAATTTTTTCCTCTCTCATATAACTTCTGCTGAAGCCAGAGTTTGAATTGAGGGCTAATTGAAATGGTGTTTTTCTGGCAATGGAGTAAGTACTTTCTGAGAAAATACAGAATCACAGAATGGTTTGACTTAGAAGGGACCTCTGGAGATCATCTAGTCCAAGGTCCCTGCTGAAGCAGTTCACCTAGAGCGGGTGTAAAGGCCGTGTAGCAGCATGAGTCTGGTGCAGGGATAGGCAGCAGGCACAGGCCTTTGTTAGCCTGCCTTAATAACCTGATTTCCCCCTAGGTATGAAGACTTCCAATAAAATAAACCGGAAAAGAATCCCACAACACACATGGCACCAGGTACTCTTTATTAAGCTCTGTTTGTCAGTAAGACTTGGCAGCTTTTCCAGTGTAACGAGAAGCCTGGTAACTTTGGCACTCTGGGGCATTTCATTTCTTTTAGCACGGAAGGAGTGGAGTTGGGGCCTTTTGTGGTAGGTGCACAGATGTTGTGCTGTCATTTAAAAGTAATACTTCACTCAAACAAACTGTCTTGGTAAGAAACTGTGTTTGCTTTTGTTTGAGGTGAAGGAAGCTTCTCAGGAACCACAGATGGTGTTTACAGCGCGTCGTGCAGCTATCACTTTCCAGACAGATGGAGAAACATGGAGAGAACAGAAAGAGAAAAAGGCAGCTCTGATGGTTGGCATCTTAATTGGAGTTTTTGTACTGTGCTGGATCCCTTTCTTCACCACAGAATTAATAAGTCCCCTCTGTTCCTGCAACATCCCGCCCGTCTGGAAAAGCATCTTTCTTTGGCTTGGCTACTCAAATTCTTTCTTTAATCCTCTCATTTATACAGCATTTAACAAAAATTATAACAATGCCTTCAAGAACCTTTTTGTAAAGCAAAGATAAAAGGAGACATAGAAGAGAAAATTATTATTGCATTATAGAAAGATTTCTTGAGGGAAACATTCCTGTGATATGTACAGTTTTCATGCACAAGAGCTACTTGAGGGGATTTAGGAGCAGTGAAAAAGAAGATGGAAGATGTCTGGATATAAACCTACTGAGAGTTTATAGTTCCCCCTTAGAAATACATATGTATTGTGCCAGGGCTTGGCAAAGAAGGTGGAGGCAGGGATGCCTCTCGTCTGCTCTTCAAATCATCACGGGAAGCGCTGTGTGTGTCCAGTGCTGCTGCTGTCACACCGAACACGGCTGATCCTGCCCAGCCAGCCCCGGGGCCGTGCTGGAGCTCTCCTCATTAGCAAAGGCACCACTGGGAGCTGCTAATTGAGCAATACTGACATGTTTGTGACATGGGCAGGATGCTGGCTTTGGTTTGGTTTATTTGGTTTATTTGGTTTGAGGTTTATTTGGAAGGGAATAAACATGCTGCAGTCAATCAGTCCTTGAGTTGATGTGATATTAAAGTAGATGACCAAGCAGCTGAGAAACACATCCTGCCAGGATTGAGGGGCTGTGTGCTCTGCAAGCAGCAGGACTTGATAGGCAGGCCTGGTCAAACGGGGGTCAGCTGTGTCCCAAACACAAACAGGTCACAAACAGGGGTTAAGTGAAACTTTAGAGGCAAGTACAGAATTATTCAGAGCCCCTGAGATTGTGCTCTCACTGCTTGCAAAGGAGAATCTAGTGAGGATTTTTCACTTGTGTTGTCCTCTCACTCTGCCAGGCTCAGGCTCTCCCTGTTTAATGAAACCCAGGTGAGCTCAAGATAGAAACCAACGCCTCCAAGTGAATGAGGACTGTATGTATGGTTATTTCATGCTACCATAAAACTGAGCAGGCATCTGTGTTACAAACACCAGCCAGGATGTTCAGTCACACCGGTGTGCTGGCAGCAACACGTGGCTGCTTGGCAGTGCTAGGTGAGTGCCTGCACCGTGTCTGGGGCCCTTGCACCATAAATGTACTCATCAGCCTGGGTGAAGTCAACAATTTGTCAGCTGGCATCAGCTTCCTCCTGCTGTAACAAAGGGGTAGATGCCATCAGGTCTGACTCCCCAAAACCCAAGCTTTAAATAGTTTTCCCAAGATCTGACAAACACCCCTGCCCCAACAATATATACATAAATAGTCTTATTTCCTTGCGTACTGCCAAGTCCATCTTGCTCCATATTTGTTTCCCTGGTGGGTTTTACTTCCTCCCCTGCTCTGAGTGGGAGAGCTGACAGCATCTCTGAGTATTTCTAGCATGGCAGCTTTTTACTGACACAGAGTCCCAGGAAGCTTAAGAGAGCTTGGCTGCATCTCAGGAGCACAGTGTATGGTGAGGTCAGGCAGTGCTGTACCTCACACCTGCAGTGCTGTGACAGTCCAGTGTGACCTACTGTGCCTGCAGCCACAGCCACCTGTATGTCTTGCATTCCTGCGGAGGATACTTCTCTCAATTTCAGTGGGAATTCAGAAGTTTTAATAACCTAGAATTTCAAAAAGTTGTTAGATAATGACTCAGAATTAAATGCCAATTTAAATAACTTTCCCTTGTGACTCTCAACTTGCCTGCATATGGAATAGCTACCATTCAAACCAATGTTTGGTGGCTTAATTAAACCAGAAGGAAGGCACATATGTAAGAGAGTGAATGCTACTAAAACCTGCAGCCTCCTTCAGAACCACTGACATATTTTTCAAGTCAATTGAATTTTTTTTATGTAAGAGAGTCAGTCCTCTAAAACATTCAAAATTCAAACAGATGACATGGAAGGAGGAAATGCAGAGGTCATCTTGAGCTGGTGTTGAAAAGCATGTGGCACTCCTGAAGTTTCTGATAATCATGTTTTGGACAAATTTTAGTGCTGGTAGTCCCTCTCAGCCTGGTAAGCCAAGGCATTACTATCACACAAATCCAATGCCAGCCCTGGTGCCCTGGCCCATCCCAGTCTGGCTGCACATTGCAACTGACTGGAACAGCACCCGGCTCCAGTTCCAAAACCCTTCCCCAAAGCAAAACAGGCTGTGAAGGATCTTCTCCCATGGCTTGGCCTCTGGAACCTGGGAGAACACCACAGAGCTGCAAGGCCCCTGTGCAGTTCCTGCAGCTGCACACGTGCAGGGCATTGCTGCAGACACTGACCTGCAGCAGAGTACCTTCAGCAAGCGGGAGAGCTGCAGCAGGGCACTGACACAGCCCTCCTCCTCCTCAAGGATGAATTTAGCTCCCCTGGGAGGCGAGGCTGGGCCTCTGGAATTTTGCTGTGAGAAGTTCTGAAGATAAGCAGCCAGTGCTCTGCCCACCCAAGCATCTGTGCCAGCAGTGAGTGTTCCAGTGACAGGCTCACACAGCCGGCCCCGGCCTCCGTACACACCCAGAGCGACGAGAGGCAAGCAGAGCTTTCATTTCATTACAGTGGCTTTAGAAAGCTCTTAACAAAATCAACTTCCCACACTGGCTCTAAATGCAGACTACATTCAGAAGAGCAGCAGCACATAGTTGGAATTTAAAATTCTGGTTTTTAATCACAGCTTACTGTGGAGCAAAGAAAATACGTTATCAGTGGTTGTTGCCTAACCTGCTGGATGCTCCCATACCAAGCTAAATGACAGTATCTTGACTATCCAAACAGAAAAAAAAAATGAAAATCAGGTATTCTGAAGGGACATCATTTGTCTTAGATGTTATTGTAATTTATTTCCCCAACAGAAGCTGCCAATTTGGAGTACACAATCATCTCTGCTTGTAAGCAGTGGACTACTAGTTTTAAACTCTTATTTCCTGACACTGGATTTCCTCCTAGAAAAACTTACTGGAAAAAAACTTATTGGAGCCCATTGCTCAGCAGAAGCAATGCTCAGATTGTTGCAGCCTGCAACAAGGCTCTGATAATCCTGCAGCAGCTGTGCTATGGGAGCCCAGAGTGTGCAGAAATTAAAGTGTTTTGGAAGATGAGTGTGAGGAGACAATTCTAATAACCCTAATAAAGAAATTAAGTTTTGCTGCAAGTCCTGTAAATGTTACTTTACAAGCCTGGTAACACCAAATGAATTCAGGGCAAGACCTTTCTCTTTCAACAAGGAAATCCAGCAATACTGAAGAAAAAATCTGAGAAAGTCTCAATTTCTCACTTGCAATCAGTTGAGATGGAGATTTAAGGCAGATTCTCCTTGCTGTTTGTTCCTCCCCAGGTATGAGGAGAAATGGCACCCAACACATAGAACCTGTGCTGGAAAGCAAGGAACAGCTGCTGGAACTGCTTTCACACCCTCACCAGCCTCCTTCCTTCTCCTTTCCACATGGGCCTCACACCAAAGCTAGTGGCTATCAGCCCTGGGCTCCATCTACAACAGTCAGTTATGCTCTGATTTATCCTTTGTGAGCAACAACTGCATCTTCACAAACCTCAGATTTATATCTTAGTCAAAATCACAAGCTCCTAGTTAGAGCAACAGATCTCACATTTTTACATTCCTTGTGGAAGTTTTCAGGTTACTGTGCTTGTAGCAGGTAAGCAGGAATTTTAACATTATACTGAACAAATAATCACATCATTTATTCTACATGCAAATTCATTATTTACCATACCTAGGAAATTTTGCTTGATGCTAAAAAGCAATCATGATTAAAATTACAAATCCCAAACTGAAATGCCCATTCAAGTTATATTTTAGCGTTTCATGGTACACAAACACAGCACAGCTTGAATTCCCAAGTAGGTCTCCTTGGTGCCAAAGCTGAGTTAAGAAAGAAAGAGTATTACGGTTTTTATAGAGGGCAAAGTTTGTAGACAGAAATAATGCCTCCCAATATCAAAGCTGACTACAGGAAGTCTACAAGCAGCACTCAGTGCAGGTTTCCTTCTTTGAAGGAATGCTAAACATAAATTTTTCCTTCTTTGAAGGGACGGAATCTGATTTTGCCTTTGATATTTTGCTAGCCCTGGGCAGACTGACTTTTTGAACAGATGCAAGAGGAGCAGCCCAAATCTATTTCCTCACTAACCAGTGTGGGGGAGTGAGGTTCCAGCTTGCTCAGTGGGAAGGTTTTCTTTCTGTTTGTGCTGAAGGAACAGGACATCACGAAAACAGTGACTTATCTGACTATGGACACGATTCATCTTTTAATGCACTTATAATTCAAGAGCCTGGGAAAGCTTCCAAGGCAAGTGCCACCTTAAAAATACGATAGCAGAATGCCACTGGATCCCAAACATTCTTTATTTTATATTCACTGCCATAGAAAGTAATCGAACAGCACTGTCATCAGTGTCAGTGGGAAAAGAAGGAACATGAGTTTTCTTCTCCTGAAGATGTCATGTACATTAAGAAGTCAGTCCAAAATCCTGATGTTAAGTACAAAAAACAACTGTTTGAATTATAAAATACTGTATATACAGATATAAAAATGTCTCAGAAAGTGTCCCACAAAGTTTCTGAACTTTCAAAAGCAAATCTTCAGCAGGGTAAGTAGGTTGTTGTCTTCAAAGGTGAGCATCAGTTCATTAGAGCAGAATGTCTCAATCTTTATCTTCCTATATTACAGGTGACAGACTTGGATTTTCATCCCAGCCAGGGATAACATGGTGATCCTAGTATTAAGGTGTTTTTTCCTGGAGCTATTAATTTAACAAGCACACTCTCTATATATAAAACTGAAATTTCAAAGAAATTTATACAACAGCTAGACTTTATAAAAATATAGATCTATAATTTTACACCAGGAATTATCCAAGGTAAGTTTTCATTTTCTTAGCCATTAGAAATTAATTGTTATCCTTTGGAATCTTATCTATGGCTAGAGTGTAAACTAAAATAATGTGAAGTTACTAGCTGGTAAAGCGAGTTTGAAGAATCTCATTCTGTGGGGTTTTTTTGGGCCAAAATTAGCAAACTACTGCATTCTGCAGTGCTCATCCTGTGGGGTGGTGGACATATTACACAGTACATGTAAACTTATTCCAAAATTTTCACCTAATTCAGCATTGAAACCCAAATAAAAATCATTCCCACTGTCCTTACTGTAGAAAGAAAAACCAATCCCAAACACAAATAAATAAAACTAGACAGTATTTCTATTTTGCTGTACTGTGTTAAGTCTTTACTGTGTAGT